TACCTTCAGGATCAGGTGATCATTCATTGCAACCATTAATAGGTTTAAATAACATTTGTTTGTGTTTGCAGTTAATTATATTTATGGCACTCGCGAACGGAAAGTCGTCTCTAGTGACGGGTCCGCTCACACAACACACACAAACTGCTATACATTTCGCACAATTCATTTCAGGCGTAAGAATAATAATTTGTTTTAATTATTTTCATTACAATTCAGTATTAATTATACAATAATTTGCAAAATTAGGCCAAATTTGAAGTGAAGACAATCGTTGAAAACAAACGATTTGTGATTGAATGTGAAGGCATTGGTTTAGTCAACAAATTTATTTGACTTATATTTAAGTATTCATTTAATATAATAAATAATTATTTATAAAAACTAAAATCATTTTCAGTTAAGAGTATAATTAAGAAATTAAAACATTTTTATTAAAATGAGAAAAAGTATTTTAGACATAAAATTAAGAAAAGACTGATAACTACTGTATATAACCGTAATATAAGAGTTAAACGAAACGATAAATGAACTAAAATACCGGAATATATAATGAAATGATTTACACAACAACCCATAGCTCTGGTGCCTGTCATCGGGGAATGTCTACCTGTTCTGTCCGTTAGCGTAGGCCTTCTTAAACCTCTCGAGGGTCTCCTGTGCCCTCTGGACAGCTATTTCTGCCGCTTCTATACTAGTGATCGCTTCGTTTGATGACATTTGGGACAGGATTTCTGAGTCGTTGTATTTGTTTGCATCGTATCCGAGAGCACCGGCCGCTGACTTCAACCACTCGATGGCCTCTTTTTGGTTGTGAGGCGGAGGCACCCGAGCGAAGGCCGTCCGCTTATGTCGTTCGTCTCCATTAGCACTATGAGTGCCATTAGTATCCAGTCTTTTCTCATGCTTTTGAGTCCTTTCCCTTTCGGTTCGGATTCTATTCAAACCATCGGTAATGAAGTTCTTATAGAAATCGGAAAACTTTTGCAAATAAGGCTCTAATGATATTTGAGGGTTTGCTTCAGTGAAGTCGTAGAGCTCTATGATAGCGGTCTGGTTCTCATCGGTTCCCAATTTGTTTAGTATTGAATTCAAATCACTTTCTGACGACTTGTTTATCGTATGCGGAGAAGAGTTGTGTTGGTTTTTGGTGGAAGTCTTGACTAATTTGTCGCTTTGTTTCAGTGCTTTCTGTATGTAATGCCATAATTCGGACTCATTTTTATCTTGAATTAGAGTCAAATGAGTGAAAATAGACTCTCCTTTTTGGTGAACTATAAGATAAGTGAGTGTTTTGATGGTTCGCAATGGAGTGTCGCTTTTGTTGTTGTCTTTCCACCACAAACCTAATCAACATATAAGGCATTCATTAAAACATTATTTAAACAATCATTCATTCAATCAATTACTTGGGAAAGACTTGAGAAAGAGGTGCACTTCGACGAGAACTCTGTCGATATCCATGCTTTCGATATAATTCTCAAGATTTCGACATATTTTCCACAAACACTTCATAATCATATCCATGAATTTGGGCGAAGCGTTGATCGAATTACTGACGCAATCGTGAAGTAATTTAATTAACGCCGAAACCACGTTCGTCGCATCAGATCCAGTGATTACAGTGGACACCAAAACATTGACACTTCGGATAATGTCTTTGTTTTCATTTAATTCAATGAGTTTCGAGTCAACCAGAAGTTGAATCATATGAGACATCAGTTCTCGCAATACATCTCGACTCGCCTTTCGACCCAAATATGGCTTTGAGAATAAAGTTAGCAAAACATCGGTCACTCCTCTGAAGAGATCAACGGCTTGTGATTTAGGTATCGACTGATCGGCCAAATGTTTGGTCAGAAAGAGCCGGTACTGCATATAACACATTATAATCAATTGATCCACTTTTGGACTCAGCATTGCTTCTGCTTTCGAGTCGTTGTCCAACAGTTGAGACAACTGTGAGAGCGCTTCCATTGCGGCACTGATTTCTTGCGACGACAACTGAGCCATCACTAGATTGAGAGCCACCTCTGCTTTGGGCGATGAGTTGATTTTGTTCATCGATGCCATGCTTTTCCTGATCTGAATGTCTGGCAAATTGAGGATTTCTTCGACGTTGTCTTCACTGTACATATCTCTGGCCCTATAAGTGAGTCCTATATTCTTAGGAGGGGTTCGTCTCTCTCTTTTCAAATTAGAGCCCATTTTTTGTTCAATTTCTTCCAAATCAAGCGAAAGAGGACCCAAAGGACCCATAGATTTGGGCCGTTGTCTCGTCATTGTCTTCGACGCACTGAACTGTTTAGTAATGGTTGCAGTGTTTGGAGGACTGGGAGACCTAATCTCTCTCCTTTCAGGCATCATATTAGGAGCGCTCGTCATTTTGGGAATATTGGGAACGTTATTGAGAGCTGCCGGCGCTGTTTGAGGCGGAACTGAAGGTATTCTGTTCTTTGAGGCCCTCTTTATGCGTTCCTCGAGAAGACTGGAGTCTTTGTCGGAGAGTTGTCCGCAATGTTTGTAAACGCGTTCGCCTTCAATGAAGTAGACCTGAACCACACAATTAAGGGCTGCGTTTCGGACGCCGTTGTCTCTATCGGCGATGAATTTCGCGATTTCTTTCATCGTTACCGATAGAGTCGACTGACAGACACTCAGTCCACACGACTCAATCAGATTTGCCAATTCATCCAAACATGTCATCCGTTGTCTGGCATTCTTCGACTGCAGACCAGTCATCAAATGCGTGAATATCTTCGACGGCGCGTATATCTCGCCCAACGTTTTGAAGATATCGTGCACTTTATTACGAACGGCGTCTTTAGGATCACCCGATTTGAGGACCAAATATGGCAGAAAAGAGTTCGCCTCAGAGTCAGAGAGACTTATATTATTGGTGTGAAAGGCAGTGAAGATGAGTAATAAATATTCCAATGCTTTGAGTATAACCGACGGATTTGTGTCAAAAAATCTTAAGGCAATCCACTTGAGGATCAGATCACAATTGGCTGCCGTCGCCTCCAGATTACCGTTCGTTAAGAACTCTTTCATCAAATCTATGGCTTTGATGTGGAATTTGAAGTCATAATGAAAGCAATAGTTAACGAGATTTGTCTGCCATTCGGCGCCAATCATCTGCTCCTTGAGTTGAGTGTAGAACTCTTCGCGAGGAGTCGTGAAGTTCCACTTAAGGACTTTCAGAGCCTTCTCGTCGGCTAATCGCTGCTCTTTCATCTTATTTGAGGGCATTAGCGGTGAATTAGAAGACACCACTTCCTCTGTTTTCTTAGCACTGGTTGTTGTCTTAGTTGCCGTCACTTTTGTGGTCTTATTTTTGACCAGAAATTTTTGTTTTGGTGCACAACTCGTATCATCTGAATTGGCGGTCAAATTAGATGACGAACCGTTCGTTTGAGGCCTTCCCAAAGCACTCTTTGCTTTACTGGCAATAGGTTTCGTCACTGCCTTTTTGGCCACTGGTTTCACATTCAACTCATCAGACGAACCACCGATCGATTCTTGTGACGGAAATTTAGCGATATTTGCTTTTGGGGGCCTTTTCACTGCTGGAGGTTTAGAGGGGGCTGTGGTAGAGGGCACAGCACTCGCCGAGATCTTCACCTCTGCCTTATCGTAGAATTCCTTAATTTTAGTCATTTTTATAGCTTCTACTCCTTGAAGAAATGGAGTCATCGTCTTCTCTCCGACCACTTTCATAGCCGTTCCCAAGGCCTCGGCTGATGAGTCGCGAACAGTTGAGTCCATATCATTCAATGTCTACAAAATTAATTGTTTAATAAGTAAAACGTTAATCGCAATCATAATGAACATCATTTACTTTTGTCAAAGACGTGCAAAAGCTTTAGTTGTTAAAGAACAAGTTGTGTAAGCCCACTCAGAAGCGCTTTCACGCCTGATTCTTGTCGCGGCAAAGCGAGAATTAGACTCCTAAAAACAACAGGTTTCGTCAGCAGTCTAGGAGCTCTTACCGCTCAAGACTTGTCTTTTGTATACAAATATTTATTATTAGTCTAAAAGCAATCAATTAATAAAGTGATCATAATTACCGCGACAATGATGGCATCGATGGCCTCACGTAATGCCTGAACAACTGTTTGCTTCTTTTCTTTGAATTTCTCAATGATTATAGAAATACAAGAGTTTGCGTACGAATGAAACGACTTTCTTAAGGCTGTGGCCAAAGCTGACAAACATTTGATAGCAATGGTAACGACGATGATATTCGTGTCTTTTCCAATCATTCTCTTCAAAAGTCTCACTACATCTGAATAATCGGCGGAAACTAAACGCGGATTTTTATCCAACAATTCCTGCAGTTTCTCGAGGGCTTCCTTCCTTTCCTGCCATTTCTTAGCCTCACATAACTCGTAGAAATCTNTTTATTATTAGTCTAAAAGCAATCAATTAATAAAGTGATCATAATTACCGCGACAATGATGGCATCGATGGCCTCACGTAATGCCTGAACAACTGTTTGCTTCTTTTCTTTGAATTTCTCAATGATTATAGAAATACAAGAGTTTGCGTACGAATGAAACGACTTTCTTAAGGCTGTGGCCAAAGCTGACAAACATTTGATAGCAATGGTAACGACGATGATATTCGTGTCTTTTCCAATCATTTTCTTCAGAAGTCTCACTACATCTGAATAATCGGCGGAAACTAAACGCGGATTTTTATCCAACAATTCCTGCAGTTTCTCGAGGGCTTCCTTCCTTTCCTGCCATTTCTTAGCCTCACATAACTCGTAGAAATCTGAAGGCATTTTGGACAGTATGTCCACCGGTTCCATCAGATCGTACGGATCAATGGGCGCCTCCTCTTCGGGCATTGCATGAGAGCTGGTGTTGCCGTCCAACTCATCGCCTCCGGCCTCGTGTTCAACCCTCACCTGTTGTGACCTTAAGAGTCGGGTCTGACGCGCCCTCTCGTCCTTAACTTTTTCAAACTCTGTCTCTAACTCTTGCAACTGAACCGGCTTTAGGTTTTGGAGCTGAGGTTTGAGCGCATCTTTGATCCAACGAAACAATTCAATTGATAATAGCTTTCCTTCATCTCTAATATTCTTATCCCTGTCCTCTAAAAGTCGGGGAATTGTCTGCAAATGTCGACAAAAATGTTGTAATAAAAGCAAACGCATTGAAAGAGTAGTTTCCAGACCTTAACGATAGGCTTAACGTTAATCACTTTAACCCCAAACGAGTTGAGACACTGTCTGATGAGTGAGACAACCGCTGCCACTATTTTGGGTGTTTTGTTGTCCAACCCTTTAATTAGCTCTTCAATCACGAGCTCTTGTTTCTCGATCTCAACGAACATTAACACAATTTCTTGCGACACTTCCCTAGTCTTCACTTTGGGTGATATGAGACATTTGGTGACAATACCGCTCACCACTCCCTCCACGTACTTCCCGGCCATCGCATAGCTCTCGATGAACGCCAAAACGGCGGCCAACCCTATCAATCCATTAACACACCAATCAGTAAACGTATGGATCAAATGAGTGACAATTTCAAGACCTTTTTCCTGAGCGGCGGCATTGGAGTCGACGACAAACTTCTTGATGAGCGGCGCGTACTTCACAAACTCCGGGCTCTTCTCGTCGTCCAACGTCTGGAACAAAGAGGTCAACGACTCGTAACCACTGAGTCTCGCCTTCCAGTTCTTGACAGTGCAACAAAAACAACAAATCAATACAAATGACAATCACTTCGATGGCATGACATGACTGAGAGGACAACCTTATGGCTACAGCGCTCTTCGATCGATAGCTTCGAGAAGTCCTGTTCCGGGTCTTCAGCCATCTGTGGCCAACTCGACACAACACTGTGGCACGTATCAAGTGGTGGACGAGTGGATCAGTTGATGATCGCAGTGATGGTCAGTAGTGGTTGACAGTGGATGTGGTGATGGATGTGCACAGTGATGAGTGTATGACTGAATTGAGTGTCATTTGTGTCACATATTTATCCGTTTATTACAAACCGTTCATGACTTACACGCAAACGACACCCACTTTTCAAACACAAGTCTCTCATTGGCTCTCATCAGCTGCCACTCAATCCATACAAATCATTGTGTCATTGGTTTTGAGCGCTATTTTTGATTTGAATCTCATTTTATGATTACATTTCTTTGGATTGTCCACGAAATCAATTCAAAGACATGTTTTCATATCATATATAATACTATTATCTCAACACGTTTGAGCCTTTCTTTGACTGTTTTTGTGAAACAAACAAAACATTAAAATATAAATAATTAGATTGCTTTGAATGCAAACTAATCCTTTATATTAAGTTAAATAAAACACCATAAATCAGATCCCATTTAAGACTAAATCTGTTTTGTTTCAACAATTTATTCAAACTTTTTATTCATTAAAAAAATTGTAATTCTTTATATATCTATTTATTTATATCTCATTTCAATCTATGGTTAATTGTTTTATTCAATTTAATTTTATTATTAAAAGTAATGTAAGGTTTTTGTTGTAACTTATTATCAATTCATTCATAGATTTAAGGCTCAGATTAAATGTAATGAAAAGAGTTGCCATTCAAGAGATTGTCAAATAGAAACTCCTTTTATACAGCATTTAATCAATAAATCCTTATATTTCACATTTCTAAACACTATTTCGCCCACACTTTCAGTCATGGTATTAATGGATCATAAATTCAACAAACGACTTGTTTTAATGTATTTTATTTTAGAAAACACCTAAAGTTTTATATAATTTTTACACTTAATTCAGATATTGTACTGTCACATTTTCTAAATGTTGCATTTCATTTACCTGTAATAGAGAACTGGTGTTTTGTAGAATTGAACATTTGCCACATTTACCCCTATGTTACATAGGCTATGATCATTTGATATCATTTAGAACCTAAGGTTTTGATATTCATTTATTATACTGTAGAATGTATACATGTAGTACATTTTGATAGTTATGTGCTAATTTTTATTTTAGGTATTTAGTAAAATTTAATATTAGTATTTTTTGATGAAAAATAAAATTTTTATATATTTTTAATATTTTATAATTAGTTTAAAACTTATTTTTGAATATAAGTATAAAATAGATGCTTTCATTCTATAAAAATATTCATGAACACAGACTATAAAACTAACAGGTAAATAAGTAATCCAGAGTATTTAGCTCATTTTAAATACCTCTCAATAATGATTACATGTTCGTGTCACAATATTATTTTTTTAAAATTCTTCATTTAAACTAAATATAATTAGAGTTATGCCTTAAAACGCTGAAATAGTAACAATTCTTGCTGTTGACAGTGTTTACAATTTTATTTTTAATGCATTTCATTCATCAGATATCGACATAGGTATCTGTGAACCACTTAACATTTAGGTAAGGTTAGTATTCAATGGCACAAATCTATTTTATTTTTGAATATTTTAAGCCTTGATTTATAAGGTTTAGAAGTCATGCTGCGATCAGTTTATAGGCTAAGAGTGCGGGCAATCATATTATTCAGACTTTTATTGTTTATTATTTTTAAGGAAATCTATTCCGTATATACTGTATAACAGAATCTTAAGGTATGATCAATAAATATGTGATTTGGAAAAATTGTATTATATCTTGAAATAAGTGAATAACCGAAATATATGATGTATTATGTATTATGCATTTGAACAAACGTAATAATCTTTAGACATGTTTTACTTCTCCACCTCTTTTGGAGACCATAGATCTTCACGAGTCATACCATTGATAAAGTGAACGGAAGAACAAGTTTTTTTCAAAGTTAACTCTTAAAACATTCAAAACCTGAAACTTATAAATATATTTTAAATGTTATGAATAGAACTATACGCTTGAATTACCTGTTTTTTATTTTGTATGATGGCTTACAAACTACTGTCTTATAAATTACCAAATTTATGTTTCGACAGATTTTTCCAAAACATTAAATATTATTTGAAACCATTAAAATATGCTATGATTTAGAATTTTATTTTAACTTTAATAAATAAAATTAAATATAAATAAATATGTTGGGGTAAAATGATAATTAAATTCTAGTTTTATTCAATAAATATATTAAAAGTCATGTCAAGAATTTAATAAAACAAATAACATATTAAGAATGACATATTTCTGTATTCAAATTATAACAATTGCCGTATAATATTTTAAAATTTAACTGGTTACATTTAGTTGATCCTAGACCTAAATATTTATATTTTAAATTAATATTAAAAGAAAATACTTAAATAACATTTTTTACCATTTAAAATATTATATTGATACCTAACATTTGTAACATTAAATGTTAGTACAGTATAGTGATACGGTATTTAAAATTTTTACTTACAATTTAAAAGTTCGTGATAAATTACTCCACCTTGGTCAATTTGTGAATAAATATGTAGTTTTGACCCTAAATAACATATCCTGTTAATATAATATATTTGAAATTAGTGTTATGTTTTATTATTACCGTATTTAGTAATTGATATTCATTAAATTTAGCTTATTTTAAATAGAGCTTTGGACAAAATTAAAATTACACTACAGTATAATTATTCTGAAAAGGTGTTATTATTATGAATGAAATATGTGGGAATATGCAAAAAATATTTAAGAATTGTCAATAATTTACGGTAATATCGTTTTAGTATCAATAGAAATCAAAGGAAACAATTCCCACGACTGCTTCCTTATTATTTTGCATGAATTTTAAACACAAATATTTCCCAAAACAATACAAAATGAATAATGAAATCATGAATAATTTTGCAAATCTATATATAATTAGTACTTATATTCCACTTTCCAATCAATTCGTAAAAAGTAAAACTATATTTATATAAAATATATATTTTTCACACAAATATGAAGCATAAATATTGCCTAATATATAGTTATGCATCAATTCTTTGCAAACTTCTTATTAGTCATAGTAAAAAAGTATAATTTCCTAAAATAGTACTTATTTTTATAACTTATATAAGCTTTGAGTAGTTTTAAAATGATTTTCATTTACTTATTTTTAAACATTATGAATTGCTTTTAGTTTTCACAATAAATTTGAAATAAATCTAAATTTAATAAGAAATGAAAGTGACAAATAAAACAGTGGTCTATTTGACGGTTCTTATGATGTGCTTTTTGATTACAAAACCCAATACAAGTGAAGCCCTGGATCTAAAGCATCTTCTCAGTCATCACAAGAAAGTTAAAATCGCAAAGAAATTACTTAAACTTTATCTTATAAAAGGTGGCAAAAAGTTTATTATTCCACTTCCGATACCACTTCCATTGCCTCTTCCGTGAGTTTATTTCATAAAATAGTTTTCATTTCTAA